GTACAGAAAAAGTTTATTCGTTTCTGTGCATATAAGCTTAATATAAATCTTGACCAAGTTAGTTATACTGATCTTTGTAATATTATTAATGTAAAGTCTCTGAATACTCGTAGAAATATTAATGACTTAATGTTACTTTTTAAAATTGTTAACCATCATATCGATTGTCCTGAACTTTTATCTCTTTTAAATTTCCATACTCCCCAGTATGCTAATAGACATTTTAAATTATTTTACACTTCGCCACACCGTACTAATTATGGCCAGAGAACTTCTATTGATAGAATATGTAATTTTGTTAATCAATATAATTTAAATTTGTTTAATTGTTCTATATCTAGCTTTAATAATCATGTGCAATCAATGTTAAATTAATTGTTATTTTTTGCTTTTACTGTTTATATACTTTTGTGTATACTAGTATACTATAGTATACATACACTATAGTGTATGTATATATATTTTTATTTTTTTGTTTTGTTTGTTTTGTAATGTAATGGGTATTATCCGTCAATAAAGATTATTATTATTATTATAAAAAGGATAGTTGGTTTGTTTGAACTTTATTTACGTTTACTTAAAAATAAGAATATTTGAATTTTTAATAATAGTTTTATAAATACATGCAAAAAAATATAGTAATTGGACATTTTATATAGTAATTGGACCGATGAACCATAGTTATTGGACATACAATTTTTATATAAACAAAACAACTTCAAATAACATAAATTGTTAAATATTTTTTAAAGATGAATTGCTGTTTTAGGTAATTTTTTTTATTTCGTTTTTGTAAATATCATATAATTCATATATTTCTTTCTCAGATTCCTCATCCCTTTTCTGAATTCTGAAGGTAACTACTAATTTCTTGGTCTGAAATAGTTTATTGCAAATATCATTGTGGTATCTCTAGTTTGTGAAGCATTTATAATGTTTAGACCGGAACAGGATGATTTCTATAAATTCAATATTTTTTCGGGTGGTATGTTAAAAGTATTTTCCGAATTTATTAATTTTGTTGCCATTATTTTTTTATGTTGTCTATCATGCACTGTATTTAAATCACTGTTATTCTGCAAGATGTCCTGTGACGAAGAAATCACTATATTACTTACTCTCTAAAAATGAATTAGTCAAAAATGTCATAGCGAAAAAGCAGCCACTAATAATTCTCGTCAACAGCAATTTGTATCCAGGACATTTAGCAGTCAATTCCTATAAAATATTATTCGCTGAATCCGAAAATGTCTTCAAAAGTTATAAAGTTGAACAGTTTTTAAAATATAATCAATTTTACATATAATATGGAATTGACTATATCTCAAAAACTGCTTAACTTTTATAGTTTTTGTCGGTCTTTTCGGATTCAGGGGACAATTTTACATAAGAATTGGCTGGTAAATGTCCGGGATATAACTAGAGTATGATATTGGACATATGTCCAATAATAGAAATTTACCAACCAGTAATTGCACACTTTCCATTTTACTTTCTGTTTTCAGAATTAAAATTAAAACGCATTAAAGTGACAATGTTTAAACCACGAGGAACACATTTATACCACACACTGATCTGTACACTTTTTAGAAATATTTTTTATTGTAATTTAAACACAGCCCTGCTCTTAACAAAAAAACAAAAAACTTTTTTGTCCTATATTGGACCCAAAATAAAGTAGTTCTATATTATTACCGACTGAGATAGTTATAATTGTATACAGCGTCATCTAATGATTTGACTTTAAGGTAACTATTTATAGAACTGCTGTTTTTACAGTATTAATGTTAATTGTCCAAAACTATAAAGTGTCCGATAACTATCTACTTTACCCTATAATATTAATTAGTTAACCTTAAGGTTATAATTATAATGTATAACCTATAATTATGACCTTTTAAACCATGTTTTTGTGTATTTTAAGATGTTAAAATATATATTTCGACAGATTAAATAGAGAGCGTGAATTCATAGTGAATTCACGTTCTCGTTTATCTTCGAGAAATTTTTTGAAAGAAGTTTTATGTATGTATATTTAAACAGTTTTTTCGTTAATAAAATGTCAATTGGCTACTTTTTGTTGGTTATTTTCAGGCGACTAGTAAAAATAGAAACTGGCAAGGTCAGTACATAGCAACCCAAGAACACCACTTGCTTTAAGCAAGTTAAAGTTCGACTGTTAAACACATTACAGAAATTATATGTTTTAGTTATTACACCTTATGTAATCAACAAGTGATATGTATGTACAGTCAAGTGCATTGAATCAGTACCACCCTGAGGCTTATATTCGCTTGCAGCCATTGCGAGGGGGTGAAAATTATTGCCTAAACGTAAACGTCAACAAACTTATTTGGGTATTTCTTACCTGTTATAGATAAAATTTATTTTGATGAGTTTTGACGTTATTTTTGTAATAATATTTTTTTTAATTTTATCAATACCAATAGAATCTAATGAATAGATATAACAAATAATTTAGACTTTTAAACATAGGCTTTTTGGCAAAAAATACTACTAATTTTTATTAAACAAGTGTCAATAAACTTATTCGCAATATAATAATATAGATATTATCTAATATAAATAATTTTGGGCAAACGCAAATCAATCTTACGGGCAGGACGGCGATTATGAATGCCTTCTTGGTTTAAGGCCCTTCTAATTGTCCACGTTGAAACGCCAAATTCTGTGGCAAAATGGAAGGTCTTTTGAAATCCATCGTTTATAAATGCCTCTCTTAGTTGGCCTTTTTGGCCAATATTTAATAATGGCGTACGGTGGTTTAGAGAAAAACATTGGGGCGACTTGAAAGATAGAATATCATATTTTATAAATCCTGCTACGAAAATCGTTATTTTTTTTAAGAAAAATAGTTTTTTTAGGAAAAACAGTTTACTGTTCGGTTTGATCACCAAAAAATTTTGTGTGCTTCTGTTTATTTTTTCTATATAAAGTTTAAACGCAATTTTATATTCTTTACTTGAGTCTCTTAAGTTTCGATCCTGGCTTTCTTTTATATGTTAAGTCGCCCCTGAAATAAAAAAAATAAAAGAAAATAATACGCCACTGATAAATTTGACATGAATATAAAATTTTGGGATTAGATTCTAACCGTTAGAATATGCCTACTAAATTACTGTCCAGGAAAAAATATGTCATTATTAAAGCCTTTTTAGGAATCTCTGAAAGTGTTTAAAGAATTACATTTTTTTTTATGGAGGTGCACAATAAAATCAACAGATGTAAATTAATCTAACTAGCATGCTTGGTGCTATATTTTGATATTCAATTTTTAACCCCTAGATAGTAGCCTGTATTTTGGTCAAGCGCTGCAAAGAGTTTCAAGTCGCCCCGTTTTACGCTATTTCCTTTTAATTTATCTTTCTTACCGAAATATTCAATTCTCTTGATATTTGCGATATATTTTGCCCTTCCTCATGCAAAAACGTAATTCGCATACGGGTTTCGTCTGAAATATGCCGCTGCATCGTAAATAGTTTTCAATCCGTGTAAACGTAGAATAAACCACAGACTGTCTGTGTAATAAACACAGAATACAAGAACAGATGGACTAAATATAAAAAACCCCGAAGGGTGTATCGCAGTGGTCTAAGGTGACCTTGGTTAAGACAGACAGAAGTGGTTAAGATACTAGAGTAGGCGGAGCTATGACTGAGCATCGCAAGCGATTTTTGAATTGCCTTGGTACTGACTTATTGCACTCGACTGTACATTAGGGTGGTCCTATTTAATGTGTGTTCGAATTTTTCTTCACGATAGTCCTAAATAGGTTCCAAATATATAAAAAAAATTTGCTAAATTGCAGCTCTTAATTTTAAAATTAAGCCGGCCCCCACGACAGCCAAAGTTTTAAATGGAAATAACATGGGAAGAGTTCTGTTATTACTTTGGATTTTTTTAAGTCATGAACTAAAAGACGGATTATATAAAAGGATAAATATTCTTGTAGAAAATGTAACGCTCTACTTGACGGGTTCAAAAGTTATTCGAGGTCAAAATCAAAGTTCTAGTCAATTCCATGGTTTTTCCATTTTTATTGTGGTTTGATCGAGTTTGATGATTCAAAAATGTAAAAAGGGTTATAATTTATATTCTAGATGACTTTTCTTATCTTAACGTTTGCTCTAAAAGAAAAATATTTATTGATTAAATATTATTAAAATTTCAATGGATTAAAAAAAACACCAGATGGTAAGGCGGTCGCTTGGCATGCTAGAGGTACCGGGTTCGATACTACTAGAAGTTGTCGAACTTTTTTTTTTTTTTATTTTATAAATTTGTTGTTCCTTTGTTAAAAAGTGTTGGGTTGGGTTGGTTGGTTTGTTTAAGTTTTATCGTAACATAACAAATCTTAAAATTATGACGTCACTCGGGACTAAACTTAAGTCCCGCCTCGGGACGGGAGCCACAGCAATGTTTTTATTAGGAAGTTTGAATTTAAAACTAGAGTTTATCAAAATTTTTACTAATTAAAATCAAAATCTTTTAACAATACCTATGTCCAAAATAATCTTGCGTATCCCAAGATTTAAAAAATACTTCCATGTCCCCTGAATCCATGTCTGACGGTACAATTTCTCGCGGCGACTTTGTTGCGGCGACTAGTTGCAGCGACTTTCTCGCCTCTAGGGTGTTCACACGGTGCAACCAAACTGACGTTATTTTCTACTAGGATTGCCAACATAACCGAAAATTACTTAGTTGAAAAATAAAAATACATAAACAAATTTAATGTTTATTTAAATCGATTTTGTTTTTCTTTTAAAGTTATAAGTATTTTGTGGTGTAAAAATAAAAACACTCAGATTAAAGCACCCGCAAGCGAGATTTCTAAACCTACTAGACTTGTGAATGGGTGTAACGCTATTGGTTTAAAGAGGGTCACGTGACTTTGTCAGGTGTGGCCTGTCGCATTTTGTTCAAGCAGATTTGTTTATAATAACCTTAAAATGTTATAACGCCAAAATTGAAAAAAAATGCGAATTAATTACGATTTGACAATTGATGAGGATCATAAAAGGACGGTAAGTTAAATTTTATTTTCATTTAGTAATGGCAAGGTTTTCTTAGTTAGACTTTGTTAAAAAACCTTTATTATTATTTATTATTAGTCTTGTTCCTAGTTGTGATGGGTTCTTTATGTTGTTTAATTCTAGTTGTGTGAAATATTGCCTGGTGGTGGTGGTGATGATGATCCTTGTAATTATGAGGGTTTAGTAATTAAAACAGAGGCTTTGGTAAAGGGTTTTTCTGCTGTAATCCGATTAAATGTTAATAAAAAGGAGCAAGCTTTGAATTGGCTTAAACATTTTCAAGAAAAAAGTAAAATAACTTTTAGGGTAAAAAGAACGCATGCAGAAAATACTGAAAGAATAATATTTAAGGTTAGAATACTACCATATTTATTTATTTATTATTTATGTTTATGTACATTTTTTGCAGAAAGAATTCCATTGTATTCATGACACTAAACCATCAAGGAATTCAAAACCTCATGAGAAGCATTTAAATTGCAATGCCAAATTAACCATAACAATAAAGAATAAAGAAATGAAAAGGTTTGTTGTACTTGCATGTTTTTTAAAAAGTCTGTAAAAAATTCTTTATATCGCCGTTTTTTCTTGTAGAAGTAAGGATGAATTTTTGAAAAGATATCCTTGTATAATTCTGCTGAGGCACAATCACAACCATCCAATATATAGTTCCTCTTCTTTGAGGTTTCGACCACCATCCGAACAATTACAGAATGAATTTAGACTTTTATTTGAGAAAGGACATTCCCCAGCAACTGCATTGACAATGTTTAAAGATAAATTATTGGAGGAAAATGGTGACAAATATCATGAAATTGCAGCTGATGGTGGTAGATGCCCAACTCAAAAGTGGGTGTACGATTTATATTATGAAATTTTCAAAAAAGAGTATGGGGAACCAACTGGAACAGAAATGATTGATTCAATGGAAAAGGCAATTAAAAATTATAACACAAAGTGTGGGAGTGAATGTGCTGCCATTAAGAAAACAGACAACTTAGTTATTGCAATTTGCAGCCCAATTATGAAAAGGGTGCATAATTATATTCGAGCATCGAGTGAAATTATGTTTGTTGATTCTTCAGGAAACATGGACAGGCATAATACCAGAGTGTTTTTATTTTTATGTCCCTCAGTTGCAGGTGCTTTGCCCCTAGGTATTTTAATGACATATTCTGAATCTGAACAGGTTATCACTGCCGGGATTGAACTATTAAAAGGACTTTTAGATAAGCAATCATTTTATGGGCAGAATTATCCACAAGTAATAATAACTGATGATTGTGATGCTGAACGCAACAGCTTAAAATTTTGTTTTAAACACTCATCTGTAATACTGTGTAAGTTCCATGTGCTTCAATCAGTAATGAGATATTTATGGAATAGTAACAATGGAGTTAAAAAAAATGACAGAGTCGAAATTTACCAAATTTTTAGAAGAGCTTTAAATTCTCCTAAAGAAGAGGAATTTTTGACTTATTATAACATGCTTTTAGAAAAAAATAACAATAAAAAAGTATTAAAATATTTTATAGATTTAAAATGTAGGGCTAATGTTTGGGCAATGTGTTATCGATCACACCTTTTAACTAGAGGAAACGAAACTAACAACTATGCTGAAGCAACATTTAGAATTTTAAAAGATAAAATATTATTAAGAAAAAAAGCATTCAGTATAGTACACTTATTTGATTATTTAACTTCAGCATTTGAAGAATATTATTTTAAGAAAATTATTGACATCATAAATGGGCGATGGGAAGGCGCAAAACAAAAAAATAAATACTACTTTAAGAAAGAAGTCATTTCAAATTTAGTGTGCATAGAACTTAATGAAAATATATATGAAGTGACATCAAATGAAAAATCCTATATAGTCAATTCAGAACTTGAAATCTGTTCTTGCTATGTGGGCTATAAAGGAGCACCCTGCAAACATCAGTTTGCAGTAATTAAAAAGTTTGGCTTAAATAGATCACAACAATTCCATCCTTCGTTGCTTAAATGTGATTTTAAAAAGCTTTTACATAAAGTTATTTATGGAACAGATTGTAATATTGAAGACTGGTATTTGGATTTAAATGAAATGAATGAGGATCGACCTCGGTTAAGTCATAATGAACAGGAGCACCCCATTTTAAATTCTGATGCAGTTAAAATTCCCTTACAAGAAGTAAAATTAAATGAACAAAACAAAAATACTGATGAGGTTCAAAAGAAACTTGAAGGATTTGTTAGTTTGCTGATGGAAAAGTACGAAAATAACTTTCAGGAATATGGAAGGCCAGTTACAAATTTTCTTGAAAATATTGCAAATTGTAAAACAGATTCATCTTTTGTAAGTGCTCTGTATACTTTTGGCAAATACGGTGCTGGAATGCCAAAAATTCTCAAAGGAAAAAATCTTCAAGGAGGAAACAATATTGGGGTTCAGCCGACTGCAATTATGAGACGAAAAATTGGACTTAAAAGTCGGAATACTGTACATAGCGGTAGGCCACCTAAAAGAGCACGGTTAACTGACCATGCATACGCAAAAATTAAAAATTATGAAAATAATTATGAAGTGCCAAAATGTTTTAGAATTGCAGCACCCCATTTGTTGTCATACTGTGTTGATAATAATGTAGCTTTAGGCAAAACTCATTCAAAAAAATGATTACCTACTTATATTATTCATTCCTTTTTTTACTATTTGTACTTTTATATGTAGATATGCTTATAATAAACTTATTAAATACTAATGGCTTTAGTTAATTATTTTAGTTGCCCTTATTTTTTTCAATTAGAATTACAGAAATTATGTATATTAAATATTACCATTTTTTTGAAAATCACTACGTTTATATCGGTGGATTAAAACTGGGATTTACTTTAAAACGAACCAATTTTAACTTTGTGAACACTGATCCATTTTTAAATCAATCTCGATTTTAATCCGCCGATATATACGTTTAAACGTAGTCATATGTTAATTAACTTCACAAATGAAAACTTTTAATTTAATTAGATAAAAATATATGTAGAAACATGTTTAAACCTAACGTCTTACAACAGCAAGGTGTTTTTTTATAAAAGATAATTTAAAAAAGTATATAACAACTGTTGATGATCAACATAAAAATTAAAATATTTAAATTACGCGCGTCCTTGTCTAGAGTAGTTTAAACCAATAGCGTTAGACCCATTCACAAGTCTAGTAGGTTTAGAAATCTCGCCACCCGCAAATCACATCTGTCATTCCACAGCTGATAAATATTGAGTACCAACCAAAAAATTTAGTGAAAATTCGTAAATCCCTAAAAAAGTTACTAAGTCGCGGCGATTTTATTGCATGAAAATAGAACATGTTCTATTTTGAGACAGGTTAGATCAGCTGATTAGTTGCATCGTGTGACCACCAAAAAATCGCGGCGACCTAGCCGCCGCAACAAAATCGCCGCGAGAAGTTGCACCGTCAGACATGGTTACGACACACAGTGGGCTAGATAGCCAATTTAACGCGAAGAAATTATTTGGTTAAGTAATTCTTAGTTAATGTTAATTTTTTTGGTCTTATTGATAAAATTTCAATAAAAATTACTTTTTACTACCAATAGAAAAACAAATCGACAATATAATACTTTAACAAAAGTATATTTGTGTGAAGGCAAAATTAAGATCTAGTTTTAATGAGTAAATTACAAAAATGTTCAGTTATATTTTTGTAATTTATATAAAAATAAAACCTAATTGTTACGTATGACAGTATTTTATACAATAATATTACTTCTGGGCTTTCAGCGTTTTTCTATATTTTTTGAAAAAAATTAAATTTTTAAATTAAGTTTTTCCGAGATCCATTTACTTTTGTAAATGCATAGTCTACTAAGTAATTTAAAAGCAACTTTCTATTAAAATGCTTCAAACAAAAAATATTTGTGGCGCCTACTAGCTCTTGATTTTAGATTTATTTAAAATAATTTAAAAGCTATTAAAAACACTTAACAGAGAGTGTGAGAATGCGTGACATTTTTTAAAACCTTAGTATTGTTCATACATACATAAAAAATATGCAGCGCTTTCTTTATTGAGGTAGGGACAGTACAATAATAATAAAAACTTACCATTATTTGTTTCAGTCATAACGTATGGCAGTATTGAATACAATGATGGTCAAAAATTAAAAATAAATTAGGAATTAACATTGTAAGAGAAGCAAAACCTTCACGCGCAATTTACCAACACAAAGCAACTAATTATAATTCTTAAATTTTGACTGGTTACCTGATAAAAATTCAACAGATTTGAAAGTGATATAACATTATTTGATTTGCTACAGATATTAAAAAATTCAAAATTCACTAAATTTTGTCGAAATAAAACACTTACTCATTTTAAATTTTCGCGCGCTGGAAGCGCTCTCTAGCCTACCGCGGTGGTGGCAAAAAGTATTAATATTCACTAATAGTTATCAGTAATTAATTTAAAATTATTAATTGTTATTAGTAGCTTTTTAATTGATGGTTTCCATCACCAATGTATGACAATATTTAATACAATGATATTTCTTCTGGGCTTCCAGCGTTTTTCTATATATAAAAAAATTGAATAATTTTTTTTTCGAGATACGGTCAATTCTCATATAACTTGTTCCGATGCTGTATCCACTTATTTTTGTGAAAACTAATTCTCGCTCAAGGTTTTTTTTAGTGTAATAAGCATGTAGGTAATGGGAACTTAAATTATGACAACCCTAATCTATTAATTTTTTCCTAAAATGCAGGCCTTATGTTGCAAATGTCACATAAGTTACCGGTCACCAACTGCAATATCCTAACATCGATGAATATTTCAAAAAAATGGCCGTTCAAACAACTAATGTTAGTGCTTGATTAACTAAAAATAGACTTAAGATTGACAAAAAAATTATTTTATCCGAAATAGGCAGTAAAGTAGTCAAACAATCGTAAATTAAAATAAATCGGCAGTAAAGTTCTACTTTACTGCCGATTTCGGATAAAATAATTTTTCGTCAATCTTAAGTCTATTTTTAGTTAATCAAGCACTAACATTAGTTGTTTGAACGGCCATTTTGTTGAAATATTCATCGATGTTAGGATATTGCAGTTGGTGACCGGTAACTTATGTGACATTTGCAACATAAAGCCTGCATTTTAGGAAAAAATTAATAGATTAGGGTTGTCATAATTTAAGTTCCCATTACCTTGAAATGCTACATGCTTATTATACTAAAAAAAACCTTGAGCGAGAATTAGTTTTCACAAAAATAAGTGGATACAGCATCGGAACAAGTTATATGAGAATTGACCATACATCTATTTTTGAAAATGGGTAGTCTACTAAGTAATTTAAAACTAATTTTATATTGAAATGCTTCAAACTAAAACACTTTTCACAAAGCTCCGTATGAGTTAGGGATAATGTATTAACTGAAAAAAATAAACAAACCATATTTGTTGCGCCTAGTAGCACTTGATTTAAGATTTATTTGAAAGACAGAACGGTAAGCTATTAAAAAAACCTAAACACAAAGTGTGACAGTGAGTGACATTTTTTAAAACCTTAATAATGTCCATACATACATTAAAAGTATGCAGCGGTTACTTTATTAAGGTAGTGACAGTACAATAATAATAAAAACTAACCATTATTCGTTCCAGCCATAACGTATGACAATATTTAATACAATTATAGTCAAAAAGTAAGAATAAATTAATAATAAACATTGTAAGAGAAGCAATACCTTTACGCGCAATTTATCAACAGGAAGCAAGTAAGTATAATTCCTAAACTTTGAATGGTTACCTGATAAAAATTCAACAGATTTGAAGGTAATTTAAAGATGTTTCATTATCTAAAGAGATTAAAGAATTCAAAATTCCCTTAATTTGGTCGAAATAAAACACTTACTTATTTAGAATTTCTTCGCGCTAGAAGCGCGCTCTAGCCTACTGTGCGACAGTGCAAAAATAAAAAAACAATTGGTGTAACCACAGGTCTGTGGGTGTAACTAACTTTTTAGGGTCACGATTACCCTGAAAGTTTTCTAAAAAATAAAACCATTTAAAATATAAATTATAACCCTTTTTACATTTTTGAATCATTAAACCACGTTGAAAATGAAAAAAAAACATAGAATTGACTAGAACTTCCATTTTGACCTCGAATAACTTTTTAACCAGTTAAGTTAGCAAAAAATCACAAGAGACCTTTTTTGTAGAGCGTTAAATTTGTTACAAGAATATTTATCCTTCTATATAATCCGTTTATTAGTTCATGACTTAAAAAAATCCAAAGTAATAACAGAACTTTTCCCATGTTATTTCCATTTAAAACTTTGGCTGTCATGGGGGCTGGCTTAATTTTAAAATTAAGAGCTGCAATTTGGCACATTATTTTTTTTATATATTTGGAACTTAGGACTATCGTGAAGAAAAATTCGAACACACCCTAAATAAGGACCACCCTAATGTACATAAACCAAATGTATGTCTATTTTATTGCGATTAATTAAAATAAACTTGGCTTACCTACATAACAACACAGAAACAATGTTTATAAATACTTTTTTTCGTTTTTTCGTTTACAATAACCAAATACAACATCTCTGATGAATTCCGAATATCGCTTTTCTGCTAAAAGTTTTATTAAGTCAGAATAGAATAACTCTTCCAGAAGAGATTTATACTTTTTTCAAAAAATAATTTCCACAAGGAAAGAATTTAAATAGTGACGAGGAAGGTATAAAGTGCTATCGCGGGTGTAACAAAATCTTTCCACCTTTCCAGATCATAGTACAAAAATACCAAAGTCTGTTAATAATTATTGTAAAACATTAATTATTTTATTATCTTTTGAACGACGATAAATTAATCAACCAAAGTAATCAAAATATTATAAAAAAATAAAAATTACAATGAATTATTCACTTATAAAGCAATTTCGGGTGCAACGTCAAATTATCGCTGGTTCCTAATTAATAATAATAATAATAATAATAATAATAAATACTTTATTGATCCCAAGAAACATAGATTGTTTATAGAGGGACAAACTCTAAACATCTAATAATTACAATATACATATCTATCACAGTGATAAAGCAACATTATCTTATAAGATAATTACAATTGATATCTTCTTACTTTTACAAAATTTTATAACGTCAGCACTTTCTGTGAAAAAACAACTTTGATATCTTTTATATAAAGGGTTTAACAAGCTAACAATAAGAAGTAATAGCAATTACTTTACATGAACAAATAAACGAATGTTGTTACAGATTACCCAGTAAAATATAAACTTAAAATGTCGCTTAGAGCTATTTCAAGCGAGTACCGATTATTAGTTTGTACATCAATTTAATGTTTCTAAGCACAACAAAAATTTAAAGAGGAACATGGGTCCAAAAGGTCGTTTTATTATTAAATTAAGATCTTTTTCTTTGTTTTTTGCATCAAGAAAGGTAACAAATACTTTGATTAAGAAATTAATTTCGAAAATCGCCTAAAGCGGAATTGCCCTATTGCAGGGTTGGAAAAAACCGGGGTTTTAAAATAAAACCCAACACATTGGGGCTTTTTTGGGTTTTATAAGTGGTTTTATTGGTTTTTTAATTCTATACACATTTTAGTAAAAAACAACATTTAAAAAGAAATACTGTCAAAAAGAAAAATTACCTTCTCCGTCGCAACTTATTTTCGCAGTCGGTCCAAACGACTCGTTCGTCAACTATAAAATGCATAAGTGTATAGATTGGAAGGGAAACCCTCAAACTTTAAAATTACGTTTTGTTTGGTCAATGGTTAGATCGTTTCTCAGTTTTAGAGTTTGCTGCTTTTGATTACCTACATTGTTACATACATTAAAATGTAATGTTTTATCTTTTTACAAAATAAAAAGAGTTTAAGTTTAAGAAAAAATCTCACTTGTAAGTGGGTAGCTGGGCAGCCAACCCTGCCCTATTGTTAATCCTTAAATTGAAGCAAAAAATGACCTTCTAAAATTTTGGTACTTACTGATTTTAATCAAAGCATTCTTCTTTTTTCCTTCCTCCATGTACCTGAAGTTCACTTCCCATGTTCGTAGATCTTCTTTTTCACAACATTTTTTATTTCCACATATAAACTGCCCTTTTCCAATGATTACTTCTTGTTTAATTCTCCATCTTAAAGCTAACTTTCAAAGATTTATAAGTTATTTTTTATTTGAAAATAAAAAAAAATAATTTACCTTGTTTTCTCTATACAAAGATAAGTCTGCTATACAATACTCCCTAAATAATTTATCATAGTATTTTTTTGCAAATTGCAGCTCCCATGTATCAGCTTTATCTTCGCCTTCCCAGAGAAATCTGTGGTTTTTTCTTATTACATCTGCATCGGTTTTGTCTTTTGATGTGTCCCTTTTGAAAATTTGAGTATCACCAGGTCGTTTTAACACGTATTCATTAATGATTAGTTTGTGAGCATCGTACGCATTCAAATATCTCATTTGAGTTCTTAAACAACTCATTTTTGTTGATGAACATGTGTCAAATAAGTACAATCAAACATAAATACCAGAGATAAAGAAGGTTGATAAATACAATCAAACATAACCTCAAAATATGACATATTGCACACCACAGAACATAAGAGACATGGAGCCTATACAAGGAGCCCGAACTTCATGTAAACAAGAATCTTCCCAAGATAAGAGGGCGCTGGTGTACTACCGGTCCAAAACAGTAGAGTGGTATAACCAGAGATGGCGCCACTACCTACCACTTACACATACAGTTGTATTCAATAAAAAAGCGTACAAGAATTAGAATGAGAGAAAACTGTCAAAATAATATTATTGCTTAAAACCGGCTTATCACTGACATAAGTCATTAAAATAATTATTATAGGTTATAAAGAGCATTGACGTCGTAGGTTAATTAAATAATATTACAAAAATTATTACCTTTTATTAATGAAAAAACAAACATTAAAAAAAAAATTAATATTTAGTCATGCATCCCTGTTTTTCTATTACTTGAGCCAATCTATTTGGGATGAACTGAATTAAATTTAATACAATATTTGGATTAATATATTCCCAGCAGTATAGTAGGTATAGTATAGTTGTATATTTTCCCATAAATCCTCAGATATCTCAAAAAAGCAGCATCCTGTTCAGGGGTGGACATTTTGGGACGACCTGAACCAACTTTTTGGTTTAGTAAATCTTCCTGTTCCCAGCGTTGCTTAATTTTTAATATAGATTTTTTATTTCTATTATACCACAGTACGAATTGACCATTCTTCTTCGATTCTTGATATTATTTGAGCCTTTTTAACTGACGAGGCATTTTTATTTTCTACTGTCAGTTATAGTGACTTAAGTCAGTGGAAAGCCGGTTTTACGCAATAATGTTGACAGTTTTCTCTCATTCTAATTCTTGTACGCTTTTTTAATGAATACAACTGTACTTCCATACTTTCATACTTTCATATTTTTGCTTTTATAAAAATGCCATTATAAAATCTAAAATATCATTATTTTGTGAGTTTATTATTGTTAAATGCTTTTTTCATACAATTTATATCCAATTTATTAAAAAGTATTTATTATACTTCTTAAATAGGGACAAAAATATGTTATTTTTTTTTAAACCGGCAAGCAGCTGACGCATGCGCCTCAATGCCCCCTACCCTGTGAGACGAGGCGTTAAAATCCGAAATGTATTCCATCTCACCGCAGCGACCCTGGCGAATTCACTAAACGCAAAATTAACGTTAAGTAGTGCCCAAGTATCACCCATAATTAACTCAAAATTAACGTTGATTTTGGGTTAAAATCTCGTTTCTTAACGCAAATTCGACGTAATTATTTGCAGTATTGTACCGATTTAGGATTTTGTGTTAAGTTTGAGTTTATTTTTAGTTAAATTTCCGTTGAATTTGCGTTGAATTTACGTCAACTTTGAGATAGGCTTGCGTTTAATTTCGGTCAGTTTTCCGTTAACTTTGAGTCTACTTTAAGTTAAGTATGCGTTGAATTTGCGTCAACTTTGCGTTTAATTTTGGTCAGTTTTCCGTTAACTTTGAGTCTACTTTAAGTTAAGAATGCGTTGAATTTGCGTCAACTTTGAGATAGGTTTGCGTTTAATTTGGGTCAGTTTTCCGATAACTTTGAGTCTACTTTAAGTTAAGTTTGCGTTAAGTTTCGATTCATTTAACGTAAAATCCCAGGTAGCACAACGTGACAAAACCGTGACGATTTGTGTCCATTGTGTCCAATTGGACACAAATCGTCACGGTTTCGTCACGTTGTGCTACCTGGGATTTGTGATAAGTTTTTTATTTCTTAACCCAAATTAAACTTATTGCCATCAACTATATTAACATTTTAGGGTTGATTAATATTGATTAATTGATAACACGTTTTTTTATAGACTTACCTTAAGCTTTGCTACAAAACGGTTAACTACCCTCAACCGTGACAGGGACGCAGTCCATGTTTTTTTTAAGCTGGGATTTTAATGAAAACTCTATTTTAAAGTATAAAAATAATTTATTATAATACTTATACACTACATATACCTCCTACATATATTACTATAATAGTAAACAAAAAATAAATTATTTAAATTGCGAAGCCAGCTCTCATGCGTTGAACTCCCAAAGGCATATCTGAAAAACAAAAATTAAAAAAATTATTATATATCTTCTTCTAAATGGTTATTTACAACTAAGAAATTAATGTAAAAATCAAAATCGACTCAAAACGAACGCAAATTCAACGCAAATTAAACGCAAATGTTTGATAAAAATTCATTTATTATTACGTTTAATAATTTATTTTTATTTGTTTTTGACTTAAGCAATTAATGTAAAACCTAAAATAACTTAATAAATCTAATATATTATTATTTTACCGACTTTTAATAAAAAATCAAAATCGACTCAAAACGAACGCAAATTCAACGCAAATCCAACGCAAATGTTGAAGACTGAATTTTTATAAAAATTCATTTATTATCACGTTTAATAATTTATTTTTATATGGGTTTGATTCAAGCAATTAATTTAAAACCAAAAATAACTTAAAAATTTTAATATTTTATTGTTTTACCGACTTTTAATAAAAAATCAAAATCGACTCAAAACGAACGCAAATTCAACGCAAATCCAACGCAAAAGTTAAAGACTGAATTTTTATAAAAATTCATTTATTATCACGTTTAATAATTTATTTTTGAATGGGTTTGATTCAAGCAATTAATTTAAAACCAAAAATAACTTAAAAAATCTAATAGGTATATTATTGTTTTACCGACTTTTAATAAAAAACCAAAATCGACTCAAAACGAACGCAAATTCAACGCAAATCCAACGCAAAAGTTGAAGAATGAATTTTTTTTTAAATTCATTTATTATCACGTTTAATAATTTATTTTTATATGGGTTTGATTCAAGCAATTAATTTAAAACCAAAAATAACTTAAAAAATCTAATATATTATTGTTTTACCGACTTTTAATAAAAAATCGAAATCGACTCAAAACGAACGCTAATTCAACGCAAATCCAACGCAAAAGTTGAAGACTGAATTTTTTTAAAATTCATTTATTATCACGTTTAATAATTTATTTTTATATGGGTTTGATTCAAGCAATTAATTTAAAAACAAAAATAACTTAAAAAATCTAATATATTATTGTTTTACCGACTTTTAATAAAAAACCAAAATCGACTCAAAACGAACGCAAATTCGACGCAAATCCAACGCAAAAGTTGAAGACTGAATTTTTATAAAAATTCATCTATTATCACGTTAAATAATTTATTTTTATATGGGTTTGATTCAAGCAATTAATTTAAAACCAAAAATAACTTAAAAAATCTAATATATTATTGTTTTACCGACTTTTAATAAAAAATCAAAATCGACTCAAAGCGAACGCAAATTCAACGCAAATCCAACGCAAAAGTTGAAGACTGAATTTTTATAAAAATTCTTCTATTATCACATTTAATAATTTATTTTTATATGGGTTTGATTCAAGCAATTAATTTAAAACCAAAAATAACTTTAAAAATCTAATATATTATTGTTTTACCGACTTTTAATAAAAAACCAAAATCGACTTAAAACGAACGCAAATTCAACGCAAATCCAACGCAAAAGTTGAAGACTGAATTTTTATAAAAATTCATCTATTATCACGTTTAATAATTTATTTTTATATGGGTTTGATTCAAGCAATTAATTTAAAACCAAAAATAACTTAAAAAATCTAATATATTATTGTTTTACCGACTTTTAATAAAAAATCAAAATCGACTCAAAACGAACGCAAATTCAACGCAAATCCAACGCAAAAGTTGAAGACTGAATTTTTTTTAAAATTCATTTATTATCACGTTTAATAATTTATTTTTATATGGGTTTGAATCAAGCAGTAATTTAAGAACAAAAATAACTTAAAAAAATCTAATATATTATTGTTTTACCGACTTTTAATAAAAAATCGAAATCGACTCAAAACGAACGCTAATTCAACGCAAATCCAACGCAAAAGTTGAAGACTGAATTTTTATAAAAATTCATCTATTATCACGTTTAATAATTTATTTTTATATGGGTTTGATTCAAGCAATTAATTTAAAACCAAAAATAACTTAAAAAATCTAATATATTATTGTTTTACCGACTTTTAATAAAAAATCAAAATCGACTCAAAACGAACGCAAATTCAACGCAAATCCAACGCAAAAGTTGAAGACTGAATTTTTATAAAAATTCTTCTATTATCACGTTTAATAATTTATTTTTATATGGGTTTGATTCAAGCAATTAATTTAAAACCAAAAATAACTTAAAAAATCTAATATATTATTGTTTTACCGACTTTTAATAAAAAACCAAAATCGACTCAAAACGAACGCAAATTCAACGCAAATCCAACGCAAAAGTTGAAGACTGAATTTTTATAAAAATTCATCTATTATCACGTTTAATAATTTATTTTTATATGGGTTTGATTCAAGCAATTAATTTAAAACCAAAAATAACTTAAAAAATCTAATATATTATTGTTTTACCGACTTTTAATAAAAAACCAAAATCGACTCAAAACGAACGCAAATTCAACGCAAATCCAACGCAAAAGTTGAAGACTGAATTTTTATAAAAATTCATCTATTATCACGTTTAATAATTTATTTTTATATGGGTTTGATTCAAGCAATTAATTTAAAACCAAAAATAACTTAAAAAATCTAATATATTATTGTTTTACCGACTTTTAATAAAAAATCAAAATCGACTCAAAACGAACGCAAATTCAACGCAAATCCAACGCAAAAGTTGAAGACTGAATTTTTTTAAAAATTCATTTATTATCACGTTTAATAATTTATTTTTATATGGGTTTGAATCAAGCAGTAATTTAAGAACAAAAATAACTTAAAAAAATCTAATATATTATTGTTTTACCGACTTTTAATAAAAAATCGAAATCGACTCAAAACGAACGCTAA